AGATTCCTGGGGAGGCAGGCAGAGGAGACTGTCCCTACCAAGAGGGTGACTTAATGAAGCCAAGAAAGAGGGGATGTATGCTCAGGCCAGTGTTCATGAGTTGTGTGGAGGGCCAGTGAAGGGTGGAGAGGCAAGATTGTGTAGAGCTGATAAGAGCACAACCTCGTGACCCGGAACTTCCTTCCAGGTCCCTCATCAGTGTAATGTGGAAACATTAGTACCAGCTTTGAGGGGTGACTAGGACTGGATTGGATGATGAGTGTAAAGTTCCTGGTGCAGGCCTGGCACATAGAAAGTGTTGACTAGGCCAAACGCGGTGGCTCACGCTTGTAATCCCAGCACTTTGGGAGGCCAAGGCAGTTGGATCACCTGAGGTCAGGAGTTTGAGACCAGCCTGGCCAACATGGTGAAACCCCGTCTCTACTAAAAATACCAAACAACAGCAACAACAAAAGAAAAAATTAGCCAGGTGTGGTGGCAGGCTCCTTTAATCCCAGCTACTCAGGAGGCCACGGCAGGAGACACTTGAACCCGGAGGCAGAGGTTACAGTGAGTCGAGATCACACCATTGCACTCCAGCCTGGGCAACAAGAATGGAATTCTGTCTTTAAAAAAAAAAAAAAGTATTGACTAGACAGAAGGTGATATTGCTGTTGGGGAGGATGGGGGTGAACCCTGGAGGGCAGGGGTGCTAGGTACTTTTTCCTACTTTGACTTGATAGAAATTAGGAGGCCACAGGCCAGGCCCAGTGGCTCACACCTGTAATCCCAGCACTTTGGGAGGCTGAGGCGGGCGGATCACTTGAGGTCAGGAGACCGAGACCAGCATGGGCAACATGGTGAAACCCTGTCTCTACTGAAAATACAAAAATTAGCTGGGCATGTTGGTGCATGCCTGTAATCCCAGCTGCTGAGGAGGTTGAGGCACAAGAATTGCTTGAACCCTGAAAGTGGAGGTTGCGGTGAGCTGAAGTCATGCCAATGCACTCCAGCCTTGGCAACACAGCAAGACTCTATCTCAAAAAAATAAAAAATAAAAAAAATAAAAAAATAAAAAAAAAGGAAAAAGACATTAGGAGACATTTTGATTAGAGATAAGATGTAGCTGGAATGAATGAATAATGGTAGCTACCCAAATACTTCTGTGTGCTCTGTGCTTTCTGTTGTCTGCAGGCCTCACCATTGCCGTGCAGGAGAGGGGCCTTTCATCTCCTAGGCTTAGTGAGAGGAAACTTGCACTTTGCCCAAGGCCACTTGGCTACCAAGAGGGAAGGCAGGATTTGAACTTAGGCTTGCCTGGTCTGGGCTCTTTCTCTCTCTACCAGACCGCCCCTGCCTGGGAAGCCATCTGCCAGGGGTTGATGACCCCATGGGAAGAGGAATAGCTGGCTCGGGTGGTTACTTCTGCTCCTAAAAAGGTGTGTGAGCTCAGAGTGCATGTTGGCCCCGACACCCCATCCCCCGCCTCCCAGAGGAGGAGGAAATACGATGGTCACATATCAATGGAAATTGAGTTAGAACTCAGCGATGAATGGAAAGAGGACCGGTGAGTGGGAGATGGATGTGCTTGGACATGAAGGCAGGCACTGGGAGACCTGGCCTTTCTCTATCTGAGGTGGGGCTCCAAAAAGCTCAGGCCCAAGAGTGGAGTCCATAGATTTTTCAGAAATACAATTTTTTTTTATGGGCACATAACCTAGCAGTCACTTCAGATTTCTTGGTAGTTCTTACTTGGTAAAGGTGACATATTGCCTGGCTGGACTTCTGCTGTTCCAGTTTGGTCAGTGCCGCTGGAGAGGGATTGGGGAGGGAGGAGTGACCTTAGGTGAGAGAGATTCTAAGTGTTCCTTGGGGCCAGCCAGGTCAACTTTTGTGTCTTCTGGACAGTGCCACTCACACTAGTGTTGACAGACCAACTTTAAAAAAATTTTAGTCTATGTGGATTGATACTTTTGTAAAAATAAAAAGAATTAATAGGAAAAGAAACTGAAAGAAACATGCAGAATACAAACTCTGACTTTTTATCATTAGATTCAACAGATGTAAAATTTGTCAGTTGCCATAAAAGTTTCTAAACTCTTATTCTCAATTTCTGTACTACAGGCAGTGCATTTGACTGCAGACTAATAAACTAGTCCTGGACTGGTACACTTCAAGAGCAGTGACCTAGGAAGAAAGTTTGTTAAGCAAATTAGTAGAATAAACAGGGTATTTTTAGAATATTTACCTGATTTTTTACTTTTTTTTTTTTTTTGAGACGGAGTCTTGCTCTGTTACCCAGGCTGGAGTGCAGTGGTGTGATCTCGGCTCACTGCAACATCCGCCCCCCAGGGTCAAGCGATTCTCCTGTCTCAGCCTTCCGAGTAGCTGGGATTACAGGCACCTGCCACCACACCCGGCTAATTTTTGTATTTTTAGTAGAGATGGGGTTTCATCATATTGGTCAGGCTGGTCTTGAACTCCTGACCTCAGGTGATCCTCCCTCCTCAACTTCCCAAAGTGCTGGGATTACAGGCATGAGCCACCATGCCTGGCCCATTTTACCTGATTTAAGAGTAAACATAATATCTTCTCATTTAAAATGCTTCCATCTTTTCAGTAAAATTCCATATTGGGAGGCAGGGATGTAAAAACATACCAATAACTGAAGCCAATGTAGTTGTGAGGGGGTCCCTGAGTCTAACCCTAAACTGGTGGCAGTACTTAGAAAAATAGGTGCTTTTACTTCCTCTGTTGTTTCTGAGAAACATTACCTATTCTTTAATTTATATTAGACTGTTTTCTTTGTTAATTTCTGTCTGGCCTTTGACTTGATCTGTGTATTTCAGTGCATAATTTTAGGTATATTCTTTTAGGGGAAAGTTCCCTAAGTGGTAGTTGTCGTTTTGTCTTGCTGTGTCATCTAGCCTGGAGTGCAGTGGTGCAATCCTAGTTAACTGTCACCTTGAACTCCTGGGCTCAAGCAGTCTTCCCACCTCAGCCTCCTGAATAACTAGGACCACAGGCGTGCACCGCCACACCTAGCTGATTTTTTATTTTTCCTAAGCAAACTAAAAAAAAAAAAAAATAAGTCTCAAGAGTTGAATATACTGATACCGTAATTATGTGTAACTTAATTGTTTGTATTTCAAATTGGATTTTTGTTCTCTAGCTGCCAGTTATATCTTATTTTATATTTGTTGGTTTTTTTTTTTTTTTTTTGGGTGGGTGTCTTCCTCGTTCTGAGATGGATGGCGTGTGGTGGTCTCTCAGGCCAGGTTTCTCTTTTCCTGCCATCCGAGCCTGCTCAGAAGCTGCCTTCCTCAGACGGCCTGTCCGTGGCCATCGTCCTGGGCCCCGCTGCTCACTCTCGCAGCACTCGGCAGAGCTGCCTTCAGCCCGCCTTGCTGCACAGCAGCGGCTCCCCTCCGCTGGCCCCTTTTCTCCTCGCTCCAAAGTCAGGACTCCCTTTTGTTTTGTATCGTGCTTTGTATTACACTTTTCAAGGCTCTTTCATGTATATATTCTCTTATTTCATCCTCCAGACAATCCCATGAGGTTGGTAGAACAGAGATTCTCATCTCCGTTTTAACTGAGGTGAGGCTGGGAGAGTGTCCGCATGGCATGCACCCTCATTCCTTTGCCCTGGGGCTCCCAGAGCTACTTGTTACCGCTCAGGTCCAGACTTCCACATGTGCAAGGTTTTGAGTTTGCTCAAAGACGCCTGTAATTTTGAGGTCCTCTTTCTATTCAGTATTTATATTTGTTATTGGAAAGTCAAACATTAGAATACTTGGTTCAATGTCACAGGCCTCTTTGGAAGAAAGAAATCTTCAGAACCTGAGGGGCGGTCAGTAGAGAACTAGAGCCGGGAGCCCCAGAGGGCCACACAGGGTGAACTGGGTGTCTTGAGGGCCGAGTTCTGCTTCAGGGTTAGTTGTCTCCACCGGAGATTTCCAGATAAGAGTGGGAGGGGGTGGGTTTCCCTTATTTCACCAGTAAAAGCCCAGCATATTGGGATGCCACAGGACATTTCTCATGAAGAAAAGAATCCTTCTTGAAAGTGGGGAGGGCACATTGAAAAATCACTGTTCACCCAAGTGAGAAATCATTTGCTCTTGACTCTCTCTCCCCATCCCCTTAATGGCCAAACAGATCTGGGTTCCAAATCCAGTCCTGCCACTTACTAGGTAGGTATGGTGACGTTGGTCAAGTTATTTAACTTCCCTAAACTTGTTTTCTCATCTGTAAAATGGGTAAGATATTGTCCACTCTGGAGCATTACTGTTAGGATTAAGGACAATGCATGTAAAGCTCTTTGCTTATGGCCTCAATAAGTGAATGTTCCCTGAAACCTAATCCAGAAGAGGGATTTTGACCCAGGAAGGGAGCCACCTGTACAGAGTGGGCTCCAGCAGTGGGTCTTAGACTTGAGTGGGCATCAGAATCACCTGGAAGGCTCTTTAAACTAAGGCTTGCTGGCCCTACTCCCATAGTTTCTGATTCATTTAGTCTGGGGTGAGGTTTGAGATTTTTGCATTTCTAAGTTCCCACGTGCTGCTGCTGCTGCTTCTGGTTTGGGGACTACACTTTGAGAACCACTGGGCTGCAGGTAACTGGCCAGTGGGCATTTAGGTGCTGTAGATACATTGAAAGCTGAGCTTGTTATGTGGTCACTCTGTTAGACACTGCTTGAAATGCATTTTGAAAATACTGAATTTAGTATCTCAAGGATATTTCCTGCTGAAGTCCAGGAGTCTTTGTTACATGTACTTGAAGGAGAATAAGTTGTGAAAGTAACAGTTATAAACATATTATAGATAGTCTAATAATATCGAATTGGCTAAGGTATGTGAAAGTGCTTTTATAAAATGTTAGATGAATGTTGTCACAACTGAAAAAATATTTTAAATAACTTCGTTTTTAAGATTAAACATCATAATGGAGTATAAAATAGCATAACTTAGATTTCTCATCTCAATGTGCTGTTTACTGTATGTATTTTTCTCTTTCTCCTCCAGGCTGCTGACTTGAGTAAACCAATAGATAAAAGGATATACAAAGGAACACAGCCTACTTGTCATGACTTCAACCACCTAACAGCCACAGCAGAAAGTGTCTCTCTCCTAGTGGGCTTTTCCGCAGGCCAAGTCCAGCTTATAGACCCAATCAAAAAAGAAACTAGCAAACTTTTTAATGAGGAAGTAAGTAGCACCCCGTCTTAGCTGTTAAGAATCCCTTTAAGAGTTGATACATTCTCACCGAGGTTAGTGGGCCTTATTTTGCACTTCAGGCTAAGCCCATTTTTTATTCGCCCAGCCCTCCTACCTAGTATGCCCAAGTTTAAATGTGGTGGATAAATTTGTTGACCTTACCTGTTCTTCCTTGGGGTAACTGTTTTGTGCATTTTTATGGAGCATGCTCAGGTGTCTATAACAGTTGTTTTAAAACTCTTCTATAATGGAGATAGGGACAGTACTGTAACTCGGTATTTATAATTTAAATAAGAAAATATAGAATTCCAAAGTTGGTTTACATCACCAGAACATTTCATGCAGATCAAAGAACTTGATGACATTTCCTTAGGCTGCTTAAATTGTAGCTAAAGCTTCTGTATGTGTGTTTGACAGTTATTTGGCTAAGGAGTACTTCACTTGCTCTTGAAAATAGTTGCTGTAAACTCACCTTTGACATAGTTAGAAATTCTGGCACTTAAAGTTTGGTCACATGACATAGCTTTTGCCAGTGTTGTAGTATGTACTGGGGTTTCTAGTATCTTCAATTTCATTCTGGAAAGAGCCTGAGATATCTGAGCTGTCTGTTCAGGAACATGTCAGGGCTGTTAAATGTGGCATATAGAAATTGCCAAGTAGATTATATTTTTTAAAGCTGTTGGAGCATCTTTCAGCCTCAAGTATTGCTATTTCATATTTAATGTTCTTCCTCCTCTGTTTCAGTATGACTTTTCTACCAAGTGGGAAAGATAAGGTAGGCTTGCTGAGTTAGAAACCCTGGGTTCCAGTCTCTACTTGGGACCTTGCCGCTGAGGTGCAAGGGTCAGGCTATGTAGGACCCCCTCCCTTTTGCATTGTTGCATGGTTTGAACATCATTAACTTGGAACAAAAACACATTATAGAATATGGTTTTTAAGAAATAATTTTGTTTGGGGAAGAAAGTTCAAATTGACAAATAAATGGCAGTTAAAATTTGGATTCTTCTGCAGTCGTGGTGCTTGCTATCCATGCAAATCAGCGTCCACCCAGGGTGCTCCTGTCTGACTTCGCCAGTGGGTTTGATAAGATCTTAGGAACCATGCCGTCTCTTCTAGTTTCCTCTGAGTTGACTGGAAATAAAACTTGCCATCTGGACTGACACACTGTAGAGGAAAAGTATTTAATCCCATTTTGCATTAAAAAAAAGTGAAGCAGAAAATATTTTATTTACCTAGATGTTTTGTTAGTATCATCTGAGGAAGTGATTTCTGAGTAGCTGGATGATTATTTTTTTGGTGCTGGGTTGCGGGAGCAGCACACAAAATTGGCCTCCTGTGCACTGTTAGCAGAAATTGTGAATTTGGAATCATTGTGGGTTTTTATTGTTTAGGTAAGGGAGAGTGTGATTGAGGGGGCAGGGATTGGAGCCATGTACAGGGCTGTTAGTAAACAAGACCCGGAGGCAGCCCTGGCCGAGGATGGTACAGAATGCCGCTTAGAGAACAAGAAAGTTTTGTGTGTCGTGGCAGGGGGAGGGCAGGGAGTTGGAGACCACACGTCCCCAGAGTTTCAGGGCTCTGGTAGCACCCAGGCTGCGTCAGCCAGAACTCGCTGCCCTGGTGACTGGGAGTTGCAGGCTGGAAGGCAGCTCCTCATTCTTCATGATTTAAGCATGAGTTTTCTCATACTCATTTTACATTTTATTTGAAAAATTGCTATTTAGAATGCTAGGACTGTGTGTGGTTTAATGCCAGCTTGGCATTTACAGCTTGAGGCTGAAATTGATTGCCCTTCATAGTAAGGAAATTCTCTGGCCGTGTGGATACATTTTTATCAGATTTTGGTCAGAATGTCTAAGAGCAAGAGTCACTGGAGGTTTGTTCCTTAGAGAGTGCCAGGAATGGTGGTGGAGTAGTCATCGTGTCGTGCTTTGCTATGGTGTGAGATTTACAGGTTTCAAGGCACTTTTACCTGTGGCCTCTATGGGGAGGGTGGGCAGTTATACCCATTTTACAGATGAGGAAATAGTCAAAGAGCACGTAAGTGAATTGTCCAGATCAGGTCGCAAGTTGATGACAGAGTTGGAACCAGAATTAATCCAGAAACTCTTATTGGTTACAGGCCCTACCATGCATGGTTGCCAGATCAGCTCTTGCCCTTCTGGGAGCTCACAGTTTAGTAAGGATGGACAGAGAGTACTGGGCGTGTGTCAGCATAGCGATATGAACAAAATACCAAGGGGTAGCTGCCGCAGGAATTCTTCAGTATGCATCACATAACATAAGGTTTTTAAAAATGTTAAGTTCACTGGGGGAGTTCCAAGAAATGCTTTCAGAAAGTGACATTTGATCTGGGTCTTAAAGGGTACATAGTCGTTAGAGGAGGGTAAGGAAGGCCTTCAGAGCTGGAGGAACAACTGGGCATGTGAAAGAACGTCCAGGAACAGCTTGGCCACATCACAGTGTGGGACTTGGAGTGGCAGGGTTCGAAGCTGGAAAGATCAATTGGAAGCAGCTTGTACTATAAAAGCCCTTTCATGTCACGTGAAGAAATTTGGAGCTGACACTGGAGGATGTGGGGGAGCCTTTGGCCTTTTAATCAAGGGAGTGACAGGATCAACTGTGTTTTTAGAACTCTTGTCAGCACTTGTGGAAGGCGGATTGGAATGAAGACAGACAGGATGAAGGTAGCAAGACCAGTGAGGAGGCTCTAGTAACTGTCCAGGTGAGAGCTGAGGGCTTGAACTGGAGTTGTGGCCATTGTTTCATTCATTCAGGACCTGACTTCCTGCCACATGCCCAGCACTGGGTCTGCGGCAGCAGCAAAACCTGCCTTCCTATGGCCCCTCAGGAGGGAAGAGAGGTGATAGCACCACCCAGACACACTGGTGACCACAGATGGTGACACTCTGTGATGTCAGAGGCAAGAGAGCAGGCCTGAGAAAGGGAGAGAATCACAGGGGTCTACTTTATTTATTTATGAGACAGAGTCTTACTCTGTCACCCAGGCTGGAGTGCAGTGGCGCAGTCTTGGCTCACTGCAGCCTTCACCTCCTGGGTTCAAGCTATTCTTGTGCCTCACCCACCCAAGTAGCTGGGATTACAGGCCACCACGCCTGACTAATTTTTGTATTTTTAGTAGAGACGGGATTTCACCATGTTGGCCAGGCTGGTCTGGAACTCCTGGCTTCAAGTGATCCACCCACCTCAGCTTCCCAAAGTGCTGGAATTATAGGTATGAGCCACCACCCCTGGCCAACACAGAGGTCTACTTTAAACTGGGAGGCAGAGGACATCTCGCAGGAAGTGGTGTGTTTTAAGCTGAGCCTCATGTGAGAAGAAGGCCAACCAGGTAAGGATCTGGAGATGGAGCATTCCTGCAAAAGGAATAGCTGATGAGGGCCCTTGAGACCAAGGAAACTGAAAGAAGGACAGTTTACCTGGGGAAGGTGGCATGAAGTAAGGGCGTGAGAGTGGAGGGCCACATCACTTAGGGCCTGATCCAGATTTGTTTCTTAGCCTGAAGTATGGGATTCCTTAGAAGGGAGCAGGTGCACAAGGCAGGCAGATTGGTGTTTTTGAAAGGTACCCTGGCTGCTTTTTGGAGACTGAATTGGAGAGATGTATTAATACATCAGGTTTCTGGGTGTCTCTTGCTGTGTTGGATAAGACTGGGAAAGGAGCAGTTGTCAGGGAATGGAGGGGAAGATCAGAGGTTCTGGTCTGTACTTGCTAAGTTTGAGAGACCTGTAGATAGTGGGATGTATGGATCTGGAGCACTAAACTAGGGGTCACAATTTGGCATTTGTCAGCATAGAAATAGTAATCACATCCTTGAGATTAGATGAAAGAGTCTTCGGAGAGATGATGACAAGAACAAAGAAGGCCTGGGACTGAGGCCTGATTATACTCCAAGATTCTGGCCATCTCAGCTACTGTTTTCAAAGGGGCACTTAACACATGGTTAATTACTATGACATTTACAACTTCACAGCCCAGAATGCTGAGGGCTCAGACACCAGCTCTGCCACTTTCTGCTTGCAGGATGATGAGGGTCTCACCTCTCCGCCTGGGTTGGAAAATGGGTGGGAACAGCACCCACCTGAGAGGTCTGTGATGAGGCTCATGAGTGAGTTCAGGCAGGGTGTTTGTGAAGGGCCTGAAGAGCCAGCCTTGGTGCGTGCTCAGCAACGTGGAGGTTGAGAGAAACTCAGAGGCTTCCTTTGCCGGGAGGAGTGGTGTTGGAAGGAAAGGCTTCCGTGGGAGGTGAGATACCAACGGTTTTGAAAGATAAATAATTAATTTTCTAGGACAAGATGGTAGGAGCATGGCGACCCAGGCAGAGACTCAACATGTGTGAGGCCGAGGGTTGGCCCGCTGGTCACAATGACAGCAATGTGGCCTTTCAGTCTTCCTCACCAGAACACCTCTCAGACCCACGTGTTACCACATGTGCACACACCTGCACACAGCAAATCCCCAGCATCAGTTACTCTGGCCTTTGCCTCCTTTCTGGTGCCTGGTACATGAAAATATAATAAATGTTGGGATGGACAGATGAATGGAATGGAATTATAAATTTCAGAAATCCACCTGAGATGAACATAGATGAAAAATTCCCATCTGGGAACAAGTATATTTTAAAAGGTGATTTTCCCCATCAATTAAAAATTGTGTGCATTTAAAGTGCTTGTTGATAGAAAAATTGGGAAATAGAGAAGTACAAAGAAGGTAGGAAAGCATCACCTCTAAACCGTGATGCTCACTGTTGACTTTCAGTCTATGATTGTTTTCAATGAGGGGACACCATAGGGCTCACGCCTTCCACCTCCACATCTGGCCGCTGATCAGGTCAGCCCAGTGAGCATGGGCAGGCCCTGCCCTCTTCCCGCTCCCTGGGACTGTCCCCTGTCACACTGGAGGTCCTTGCTGGTGCATCTGTTCAAGACCCGAAGAAAGTTGAATGCCCAGTCCTTTCTTGCCCCTCTCAG